ATGATCGTTTTGGCGGTTTCCTTGTCTGTGGGGTCCAAGATCAGCCCTCCAGTACCGCCATGGCCGCACTTGGCAGCGATTAGCTGCTCGATGCTCAGGTCGTAGCGTGCAAGGCCACCTTTTTCTCTTGACTCTAGTGCCCACATCTTGAGCAGTCCCGATTGCGAGAAGTGGTCGTTGAATTCAGACAGCCAGTTCGGGATGAGTGAGACCGGACACACCACCAGGTGGGGCTTGTAGGGTAAAACGGTTTCCTCCGTGATGCGCTTAGACTCGGTTTCGAGAAAGGCGACAGAGGCCGCCGTCTTCCCACATCCGGTACCCAGTGCTAGGATGGCACCATTGAGCTCTGTCTCATGGCGCATCCGGTACATCCATGCCACACTCTTTGTCTGTATTGGCGTGGGCTTGAAAGGCAATGCGGAGGAGCCTGTTTGACGCTCTGGCGACGATGCTGAGATGAACTGGAAGTACGAGCAAGCTTCTTCGTAGCTTATGTTGTCGAGAACGGCCTGAAGGTCTGGCTCTGCTGCTTTGAAGTCATTTTTGTGCGCCTGGCCTATGTCCATTGCCTCGTCTACTTCCAGCCTTTCGTCCGGGGGGGGAGTTCGCTAGACGCTGACGTCGAAGCATCCTTCATTTCTGACTTGAAGATTTCCTTGGGATCAGACGGGAAGTCTTCCCTGGAGCGCAGGAAAGGTGGTGCCACCGGGATGAGCCCCTTTTCAAATGCATCGTCCGCAATTTCTTGCAAAAGTCCCAGCGACTGATCACGGCTTGCCCGCTGAACGGTTATGCTCTTGTTCATGTCGCCATGGCATTTCCCGAAGCCATGTCTTTGCCAAGTAGAAAGGAATCGTCCTTGTCCTGTGTCGGGACTTTCCCTTCCGCAAGGGATTTTCGAGTGGTCGCGTTGAGCTCCCGAAACGCTGCCTCGTCTGCAAACGAGTGGTAAATTGTAGCCTCACTCGACACGGTGTGCGACATTCCGGCCAGGGCTTCCTCCACTTCGTGCCTCTTACCAGTCGTAAGGTCGGAGCCGTCGGTAAAGATTACGACGGCAGTGTTTCCAGTCGACCCGATTCCCACAGTCTTTCTCGGCTTGTTGGAGAAGCCGAGCAGACAAACGACGCGATTGACATCCTCAAGATCGAGAGTGCTGTTCGGGTCGAAGGTTTCTCCGATTTTGCTGTTGGGAAACCTGGCTGGGAAAGTTTTGATGACTTTGAGGACGCTGATTGCACGCCCAAGCTTCAGACGTGTCGCGTCTTCTGCTGCCAGTGAGAAATACTCCTTGTGAGCTGCGGTTTCCGGCCAGTCGATGCCACCACGTTGGTGCACATAGGCCTCCACTTGGGGACGCTTCTCTGTCAGAGCGTTCATGGTGTGGCCGACGAGGTAGTTGTTGTTTCTTGGAGCGTCCTTGCCGTCCTTGCCTTCCTTGCCGGCCTTGCTGGACTTGGTGGACTTGGTGGACTTGGTGGACTTGCTGGCCTTGGTGGAATCGTTGGACTTGCTGTCATCCGGTTCGTTGCCTGTAAGCTGGTACCCCGAATTTTCTTTCAGTCTGATCGCTGTGAAGAACTCATCATTCGCTTACCACCACTCCAAGAAATCCTTGTTCGTGCCGAAACCGAGGCAGCCGCCAAGCATGGCCGCGCTGTTTATCATCTTCGAGGGTTTTGTCAAGTCCCAAATCAAAAGCTCTCCTGAAACCACCACTTGCGACGACCCGTCAGAGGGCAAGCCATTTGCAGAAAGAGAAACAATCGTTCGCATCTTGCCCTGGGGAGGCGCGGGGCTGCTAGTTATTGTCGCGATGGTAGCTTCTAAACTTAGCAGCCCCTATTAATGCGCCTCCCCTCCTAGCCTAAGCTAAAAGCCAGAGTACCCGCTTTCCCCCTAACTTTACTATGTATTTACCTAAGTCTCTCACCTACATCCTCCTCGCTGGCCTTCTCTTGCAAGCCAGCGTCCTGAATCATGCTCGACCCTCTCATGGTTGATAGGCACTCCGACCCTGTCAATGCAATGGCGACTTCTTTACCTCTCTCCCACGACTCCTCCCACGATGACACCGACCCTCCCAATGAAACGAAGAATGAATGCTCTGATGACGACCATGATGAAGTTGATTCCTAAAACTCTGACTCTGACTCTGACTCTGATGACGACTATAGTGACGACAATAATGGTAATGAGCTCATTTCCTCTAAATCCTCTAATAATAACTCACTTGAGGATGACTCTATTAAGGACGACTCTATTAAGGACTTTGACAACCTTACTATCCTTAGAACTACTAAGAAGACCAACCCTCTCTTCTATAATTAATTAATCGCGTTCATTGCCAGCGTTTTGTTATTGACCAGCGTCCACCTGTGGTTATTCATATATTAGGTACTCTATAATCATGATGCTTTCTTTTAGGTGGCGCGACTATATAGGATGGTGACTCCTAAACTTCTAGAAACACTTGATTATAAAAACCTGCCAATATAGAAGGATTAGATATACTACTAATAGCAATTAATTAAGATAAACTTAGCTGCTACCTCTTACTCATCTCTAGTAGCTAGGAGCTTAAAGGCAACTCTAATTAGGTATATAGTAGCCTAGTAACTGGCTTTAGCTAGTAGGTCTTATACTATGTATATATAAGCATATCTAATATAAGCACGCTTGAAGGTCATTTCTAAATTGACTGCTTAACTAGGGTGTGAAGAGGAAGATTAACCTAAAGCTTATAGCTATATATAAAGAGTCAAAAGATGGGACGGCAGCATCTATCATTAAGATATAAGTTGTATGCCTTCTATTTAAAACTCTAATCCAGTTATTCCTAAAGACCGCGGTTCCTGATGCCGCAGGATTAACGCGGCAGACCCTCCTTCAGCTCGGCCCTTGGAGTGAGGTAGACTTGCCATGGGCTCCCACGAACAGCTCCATTGCGCTGAGGGAGGGTTTCAACATACCCAAAGAAGAGACCCTCATTGATCAGGAGTGGTTGAAGGAGCAGCGCCGAAAACGGAACAACGACGCGGAGCGACGTGGGGCTAGCGATCCGAAATACAGGGTGCGGAAGTATGCCACCAGAAGAGGCCTCGCACATGAGATAGCAAAGCCTGTTGCCAGGATGAGGAAACTCGGCATACCTGAGGCCAACATTGCCATCTGGGAAAAGGCGGCGCGTGAAAGCCGGTTGAAGAGACTCGCGGAAGCGAGACCCAGACGCAGTAGCAAGACGCCAAAGATTGCCGCGCCAACCGCTGCTCTCCCTACAATTCCCGGAGGCCTTCTGATTTGCTCATACTGCGGAAAATCCAAACCTTGCGCCTTATTCATCAAGACAAGCAGGCGTGCCGGAGAACTCGGAGTATATGCCAAGATGTGTGCACCTTGCAGGGAGAATGGTCGCATTCACAGAAAGAAGTCCAAGATGAAAAAGAAGGCATCTGCCATTCAGAAAGTACTGCGACAGCAGGTCAAGAAAGCGGCAAACAACCTTCAGTCGACTCCCCAGCCTACCACGCCTGCCACTCAAGACGTGGAGCCCAAGGAAATCCACCAGCCTGTGACTCTTCAACCAGCACTCCAACAGCAGCCTCTTCCACAGGCCCCCATCAAATATCGTGTTTGCCTTGGGAAGTGTGGTCTGAGGCGCCCTGAGTCATCTTTCTGAACGACCAGGAAGCTGAACCCTTGGTCTCCGAAATGCGCTAGTTGCCGCGCAGAGCTCTCGAAGGCATTGTCTGCCTCCTACCACAAGACCAAGGGTAGGAAAAAGGCTGAGGCTCAGGACAAGGCTCAGGACAAGGCTCAGGACAAGGTTCAGGACAAGGCTCAGGGCTCGACACTGGACAACGACAAGGAAAATGAACCTCCGGCCAAAAAGGCCAAGCTCCAGACCTCTCTCAACAGCTTCTTCGGCAGCAAGTAGAGTTCGAGCATGATTGTCACTGAGCGACCTCAATTCTACATGGTAATGGCAATATGAGTGGTCCTGGGCTGAGGCGGAGACGATGCATGAGATCTTTTCCCTTTCCCCCCCCCTTTTTTTTTTTTTTTTGCATAGAACTTTACGGCGTGTCTACACAAGGCATATTAGCATGGAGCGGAGGAAGCTTTCACATCATCGCTGGATTTATGGCAATTAACTGGGAAGTAGGACTTACGCAGAAATACAGGCTATCCGGATTGACAATCTTCTCGCGCTCCCGCTTGCGCTCCACAAACTCCGTACACCTCCCCTTACTCGCGCACCTGGGCGACAAGTACCCTTGCGCCACCAGCTGGCAAAATGGCACTTACAAACCTAAAGGATAATGAGAACGATTGGATAATGTATGGATAAACTTGAGTACCTTTTTTGGCTATTGTCAACGGCGACACGAGTATTTGCGGGCTCCTCTTGGGACTTCACCATCACCAGGGAGGGCGCTGGCTTTCTTCTCTTGTTCGGGGGACTGTTACGGAATTGAATCGAACCTTGGCACCTCATCTACTCCAGTTTCATAGTAATCGTCAACGGTGGCCCAGTTTCCCTGCCAAGACTCTTTCGTTGTTCTTCTCTGTTCTTTTCGCTCGCTGGGTTGATCCTGCTCCTGCCGACGGCAATCTTGTCGCCAAACCCTTCTGAGTGATGAAGCTGCAGCCAGCACCGCGGCGTCGCCGAAAGTTGCGTAGGCAAGATTCGTGGTCTGCGAAAGTGATGGGCATATCGAAATGCGACGCGGAGTCGGCAGAGACGTAGACAGACAAGGCCACTTTTGCTGGTGCCAGGCTCAGTAGTAGGTGCCCGGACCCAGGTGCGTCGCACCTCCTCCCCATTGGTCACCGCCGAAGTCCCGGCACAGAGCAGGGGAGCCCGAGCCCGGCGAGATCGGACCGGGACCCAGCCAAACTACGCGGGTGTTCTGCACAGCGGCGCTAATCCAATTCAGGCAGGGATCTCTAAATTACAGTATATTTTGTGTTTGAGGCGGAGAAGGGTTAATCTAGGCCTATTAGTGTAGTGGTCGAGCACTTCGGATTTTGAGATGTAAGCCGTATTGTGAACAATACAGTTTCAAGAATCGTAAATTCCGGCAACCCCGGTTCGAGTCCGGGATAGGCCTTCAAATCGCTTTTGGTCTTTTCCTTCCTCTTTTTGCTGCCCACCTGCTACACGGTTATCGAACTGAAGTCCGAACGTGGCTTGAATCATTTCTATTCCTCATGAAAATGTTTGCGTGAACAAAGATTGGTATTGCACCAGGTGCTTGCCTCGTGTGCGAGGGCCAAGAAAATTCCAACATTTCTCCCCACAATTCTTTTTGGATCGGCCATCGATTGTTGATGGCGCACAGCCCAGGCAGGTTCCAGAAATACATACGTCCGTACGATCGGGGCCTAGATTCTCTCGGATTGCGCTTGCAGCTCAACAGAGTCAACGTGGCAATGTCGCAGCGGCGTCAGTCCGAGAAGCCCCATCCAAGATTAGGCGGCCAGACAAAATCTGAAGCGCGGCAGATGGATTGGTGACATTCAGGCGGAGCATTTGTATATTGAAGTCAGTGCATGGTGCAGCTCCAACGCGAGGTTGACATGCCACCTGGGAGCGGTTGCGGCAGCGGAGCTCGGGCGGTCGATCTTGGGAGCAAGTCAGGGGTTTGAAGCCCTGATCGACCGTCTGGCGAATTTTGGCTGAATGGAATGTCCATTTGCGACCTCTCCGCGGCGGTCATGAGGTGCAAACAGAGGGTTCGCGTGGCGGGCGTGAAGATCGCCCGGCGCGTTGCTGTTTAAAAGGAAGCAAGAGTCGCATTGCAACCACAAACAGACTTCACGATGACTCCCAAGTCCCGCCGCGGCTCCTCCAGCTAGGCCAGACCAGACTGCCGGTGGATTGGAGCAGGCGGAGGCGGCGGCGAATTCGCACAGCGATGTCGGGAAATTCAGCGATTGCGGCAAAAACAGCGATTCCGCTGAGAGTCGACTGCTCGCGGAGGGCTTGGATCCGAGCAAAGGCCGGCGTGAGTGACACTTGGGCGGGGCGGGAGGAGCAGGAAGCGCGTCGACAGTGTCGTGATGGCAGCGTCGACAATCAGCCAAATGTCAGGCCACACCGGCCAAGTCAGGGGCGGAGAGGAAGAGTTGCAGGCTGCTCGGGCGGGCCCGACGAGTGGCCTGATCAGCACGCCAGCTCGGAGACGCTGCGGCAGCGTCACGGGTCGCCCGTCGGGCAACGCCCTCGCTCCCGTCCCAAAACCGCCGTGCAGCAGTTTTTTTTCAGCCCGCCAAATAAATAAATGCTGCAACGGCGCTTTCGCCCTGGCCATGATCTCATCACCAACCAGCCATCAGACACAAGCCCACATCTCTGCCCGCTCCCGCTCCCGCTCCCGCTCCCGTCCATCATCCGACATTCGACCACCTCACCCCCGACCAGCCACAAGTCATGACCTGCGATTGGCTCGAAGCCAGCATCATGCCCTCTTTGTGTTAGCACTCCCGAAGCCCGCTGGCCGCTGTGCATAGGGCTGACCATAGCTCCTCCAGCATCGTCCCACGAAGCATCAAACACCTTCGACCCCCTGGACTGGATCAACGCAGACTGCCTGGACTTCCCCACCACCGCCCTCGATTCATCATCATCATCCGTCACCACGCCACCCCTCCTGTCTCTCAGTCACACCACCCTCACGCCAGATACCCGCAATCGCTCCATCCGGCCGCGGTCAAAAGACCCTTTGGCGCCACAAGATCACCCGTGGCAGCCAACAACCGCCGCCAATCCCTTCGAGACCCTCCCGACTTTGTCCGACGACTACTCCTTTGCGGAACCCTCCTCCACCATTCCAGCCAACGCCCAGTCAGCGTCGCCATTTGACTTTACCCCAGACATGGCCCCCTCCCCCACCCCCTCCCTGTCCGGCCCCGAGTCGCCCTTTTCCCACGAGGATCACTCCATGGAGGGATTGACGAGCGCCACCACCACTGCTCCGTCATCCCCGCGTAGATCTTCTCAGATCTCCCTCAAGCGCTCCGCGCCCCCGTCCCCAATCATGGACACCATCCCACTTGCCCCAAAGAGGCAGCTCCGCAACCGTCACCACGAGGACCTCCACGAAGACGACACCAGGGCCACCCCGCGCGCCTCGTCCAGCCGGGCCACTCCCAAGACGCGTCAACCCCACAACATGGTTGAGAAAAAGTACCGCGAGGGTCTGAACAACGAGCTCGAGCGTCTGCGCCGCGCCGTCCGCACCCTTCCCCAGCCACGCACCCGGTCCCTCTCGTCTGACGACGACGACGACGAAGACGGATACGGCTACAGCTCTTCGGTCCCCAAGCCCAGCAAGGCCGCCGTCCTGGCCGGTGCCGTCGAGTACATCCGCTACCTGGAAACCGAGCACGAGCGTCTCCGCGGCGAAAACGAGCAGCTCCGCGAGCTCGAGGGCCTGCGGAGGCGGCGAGAGGAGGGATGGGTCTGGCGCAACCGCGCCGCCGACCCCTTGGGGTTTTTGAGCTAGACGACGAGGCCGAGCAGGCCGCTTGGATTCTTTGCAACATGGCGCAACGGGGCGTTTGGAACGGTGATTGATATTAAAAAGGCGGGATACCCCATGGAGCAAGCGCAACATATAGAGCCGTGCATTCTAGAAGCGGTCTTTTGGCGTTTGTATGGGGTTTGAAAAAAACTCCACTTTTCTTTATGAATACTTTGACCATGCATGTGAAATGTAACATCTCCACTTGCTCTTCAATCACGGAAGATAACTGGCTTAATATGAAAAGACCATCAAATGCAAGCAAAGTTCACCAAGTGCGTACTTTACCTCGAAGACTTTGGCATTGTGTTTACCTGATCCAAAATTTGACTCAATTGTGCAGAATCTCGTTTCGGCTCTGGAGACATAAATGTTGTGCAGGGTTGAACGGTGGGTGGTGGTGTGACAGCGTGAAGTTCCCGTCGTCTACAGGTCCGTCGGTCAGCCAATGACGTCAGTTCAGATCGGGCGAGACTGGATGCACCGATCTTTGGGTCAGGGCTGTGGAGGAACCAACCGCAAATCCATCTCTGCGCGTCATCGATCCAGGGACTCTCCACGCATCTGATCTCATCCATCAGCCCAAAATCGATCGCCATGGTCTTGGCGCGCTTTCGTGGCGCTTGCGGCTCAAAAATGCGCAACTAGAGGCTTGCCACGCCGCTTCTCACCACACCCTCTACACAGCGTCCGAATGCCGATACCATTTTGCAACCCTATTCGAGCTTCGACTCTTCCGTTCCGGTCTCTGGCTTGCCTTTTTCCGTCTACTGCGACAAGTAAAACCGCGCGGTCGTCGCTGTCCACGATGCCGAAGCGCAAAGCTGCCGCGACAAGCATTGCAGCATCCGAAGGTGTCGTTCCTCCCTCGAAACGGCCCAGTGGCCCGGCGCGCAGGTCCTCGACACGTACCGCAGCTCGCAACACGAATCCAAACCTCAACAGCCAAGTCTTCGACGCTCCCAATGCCCTCAGAGCGAGTCCAGACAGCGCGCAGATTGATGACGAGCCTGCGTCAGCACAGTCGAAGCCGGATAATACCAAGGGTGTGACGAAAGGCGGTGAAAATGGCAAGAAGCGAGGAAGGAAGCCAAAAGCCGTCGAAATGGACAAGGAAGAGAAGCTCAGGCAGTTGCCGACGAAAAAAGAAGACGCTGGCGATGAAGCATTTGCAATGGATCCGGAAGCTGACGGTGGAGAAGAAGTCGGGGAGGAAGATTTCAAGGCTGCAGTGTCTAGGCCGCCGCCCGTCAATTCGGACTATTTGCCGTTGCCGTGGAAGGGGCGATTAGGTTATGTGAGTGCAAACGAGGCATAATGACGTGCGAATGGCTAATCCGTCTCAGGCATGCCTCAACACTTATTTACGTCAAGCCAACCCTCCCGTCTTCAGTTCTCGCACCTGTCGCATCGCATCGATTCTTGACCACCGCCATCCTCTCAAGGATCCTACACAGCCTGAACATGCAACCAAGAACAGACCCGACAAAGAGCAGCCGGCGGACATTGGTCGCGGCCAAAAGTTCGTGGAAGAGCTTGGGGTGGCCAATGCCAGAGACATTATCAAGATGGTCAGATGGAATGAAAAATATGGCATCAAGTTCTTGCGGTTGAGCAGCGAAATGTTCCCCTTTGCAAGTCACGGAGAGTACGGGTATAAGCTGGCACCCTTTGCTGCAGAAACTTTAGGTGCTGCTGGTAAAGTGATAGCAGAGCTGGGACACCGTGTCTCCACTCATCCAGGCCAAGTAAGTATCGCGCAAATGTGCCATCACCTTTCTCTAACAAAATGCAGTTTACCCAGCTCGGTTCACCCCGCGAATCAGTCATCAAGAGCGCAATCAGGGACCTTGAGTACCACGACGAACTACTATCCCTTCTCAAGCTCCCACCCCAACAAGATCGTGACGCCGTCATGATTCTCCACATGGGCGGAACGTTTGGAAACAAAGCCGAAACCCTCGACCGCTTCCGCAAAAACTACGCTGGCCTTTCTCCCTCCATCAAAAATCGACTTGTTCTAGAAAACGACGACGTTTGCTGGAGTGTTCATGACCTTCTTCCCATCTGCCAGGAGCTCAACATCCCCATGGTTCTCGATTATCACCACCACAACATTTATTTCGATGCCGAAAAATTGCGTGAAGGCACCAAAGATATCATGGAACTCTATCCTGCAATCCGTGAGACTTGGACTTCCAAGGGCATCACGCAAAAGATGCACTACTCAGAACCGACGCCGGCCGCCGTGACGCCCATGCAGCGTCGAAAGCACAATCCTCGCCCAGCCACGATGCCTCCTTGCGCAAACGACATGGACCTTATGATTGAAGCCAAGGACAAGGAACAGGCCGTTTTCGAGCTAATGCGCAACTTCAAGTTGCCCGGCTGGAACCTCTTCAACGACATCATACCGCATGTCCGCGCAGACGAAAACAAGCCCATGCGCGCGCCTAAGAAGGCAGCGCCCAAGAAATCCAAAAAGCGAACCGACGCAGCCGACGCAGCCGACGGTGAAGAGCCTCTCGAAACCGTCGAAGCGGAGCCCGCTCCTGCTCCCGTAATTCCCGAAGAGGAGGTCGGCA